AGGGGAGGGGAGGGACAGCCAAAATTTTTTTTGCTTGGGGCGGCAAAAAACCTAGAACCGGCCCTGCCTGTCACCAAGCAGCGTGTGTTAGTATGTGGTACTGTGCAGGGCAGGAGAGGCAGCAGTATCAGAACACTGAAAATTGCTACTGAATTTAGGAGGCCGCATGGCAGCATGCAGTAACCAGGATGGGATAGGCCGAGCAGCATTAAAGACATTCAATGTTGAAAATTGGGCATCCCCAGTCCATTAAATACCTAAAAAACGGACAGCTTGTTATTAAAGCCCCAATATGTGTTAACAGGATCCATTAGCATGGGCCCTTATGCTCACTTCGATTCTCACTGTGAAGAGATGAGGACCTCATCATCAGTCCCTATTATAGGTTTGGGGCCTGAATAAGCAATAAAAATAATTGCCTCAAAACAAGTGTTGCCTACAAAAGAATAAGAATGAACTCTGTTACACTCAGTCCCCTGTTCATCCTCCACAATAAGTGCATGTACTGTACATGAAAAAATGCATTAAGAAGAGAATTTTCCAGGTATTCCACTGGATAGTTTCTATCTAGGGTAGCAAGAGCAGATATCAGCCCATCCAAATAATCCAACCTAGTTTAAACTATGTTCTCCTCAAGCATCTGGTGGTAATCTGTTAACCAGGCAGCTACTATCCCAGTGTCTCTAACTAACATGTACATGTATATATTCAGGTATCAAGAGAAGTTGTCATCTGTGTGTCTCCATATTAGACAACACTGAAAAAAAAACAGTAGTGTGGCTGTGAACCCATAAGAGAAACCTATTCTGAATCTAGCATAGTACAATTTTCTTATAATCACTGCCACATTAATGTATTCTAACTAGTATGTAATGAACTTTGTGTTTCAAATGGACCTATTGTGCTGCTCTAAGGACTGGTCCCCACTTAGTCCGGACTTCGGACTAAGGTACGCAAATTCAGCTACGTTAATAACGTAGCTGAATTCGAAGTACCTTAGTCCGAACTTACCGCGGTCCAGACGCGGCCGGAAGTCTCCCCCCGTCGACGCCGCGTACTCCTCTCGGCGAGCTGGAGTACCGGCGCCGACTGTGAGCACTTCCGGGATCGATCCAGGATCGATTTATTGCGTCTTAACCAGACGCGATAAATCAATCCCAGAACATCGATGGCATGCCGCCGGACCAGCCGGTAAGTGAAGACTAGGCCTAAGAGAGACTCATGCTAAGGATTACACTCAAACAAAAGTGAACTGGAGACTAAATAAAACAGGAGAGACCAATGTGTGGTCTGATCCTATGAAAATTTCCACATTCAGGAGTTTTGCCTGTATAGGAACTGCAGGATTGTGCCTGTAATTGTTGGATGCTCATTGCTGAATATGCATTCTCCCAGTTTGATTATGCTGTAAAATAAGTAAAGAATTTAGATTTCAAAAAATGATGAGTCAAATCTCACCATCTTGCAGCTATTTTGATTCTTGAAGGAACTTTAGGCCACTCTAGCTTGATCTGTGTGGCTGGGTAATCAGCAAATTGGCCAGTTACAACTTTTCCAGCAATCCTGTAGTCCTGGCAATCCTGGCCCCATTTTAGATAACCCTAAGAGAGAGGATAATTAATTTTATTTTAAATTTAAATATAAAAACATAGTAATATCAATATAAAACATTTACTGTTGGTCAGATTATGTTTGAACCTTACCGCTGCTTTGTAAGAATTTACTATTGAAGCATCAGCGCAGAGTTTCCATATACTTGATTCTGAGATGTTTGACACAAACACTTGTATCCTGGGTGTGGTGGAGTGCAAGTCTGTGTACAACACAAGCTGGAAGCCTGCCAGCTTTCTGTCAGTTCGAATGGCACGAAGAATAACAGCCAGTATTGGAGGTTTAATGTCTCCCAAGAATTTAGGCTAAAGTCACAGGAGAAAAAGTCAGTTGAAACATTTTTAAAAGTAAAGTAAAGTACTACACTGAATGTCAGATAAATTAATATTTGTTAAAGGAATGGTCTTTATTAAAAAAAAAAACATGCTGTGTACAGTACTCAGCAGAATCCTATCCAGAAATACAGTGAAATCCTTTAAGCATGTGATCCAGCTCCATTGAAGTCATAAGGAGTTTTGCCATTGATTTCCAGGGGAGCAGGATCAAACCTTAAACAAGTAAAACAATAATGGAAAAAATCTTTTACAAGAGCAATTTCAGTGTACCCAAAGGAAACCTGGAATAGAAATGTGACCTGACAAAGAACAGATCTTTTAGATTACCAAATGTTGGGATTGAGCCTGCATTCTTTATTCATTCAAAACTCATAATAAAATCAAAGAACACAGGATCAGATTCTTTCATTGTACCAAACTGAAATTTAGTTAAGAAAATAACTGCCTTCTTAAACAAACACATTTTAACTTTTAAAACCATAATAATTTATGTCAACAAACAGATCTGTTTGTCATATTTACACTGCACAAAGAAAACATTATATTCATTAAAGTCCAGATTCTGTCTGTCATTCTTATATTGTATAGTCCCTGACTGTGCACATAGAATAACAATTTCAAAGTCCCATTAACTTTCAGTGGAACATAGGCTCCTAAATGTCTGTGTCACTTTTGAAGATAGGACTTTGGCTTCTAAATCACTTAGGTGCTTTTGAAAATTTTACCCATGGCCTTGTTGACATGAATGGAACTACCTGCAGAGAAAGGCACTACTAAACATGCATCAGGTCCGCAGAATCAGGACCTAAGCAGTACAGGATGCAATCCGCTGACAACACAAACCAGAAATTGCTATAGGCCTGATTCAGATACTTTTATACATGTTGAGTAGCACTTCACAAGTGGTCCCATTTATTTTAATGGGACTACTCACTTAGTAATGCACTATTCATCATGTGTAAGCATATCTGTTAGGTTCAGTTATCCCACCCTTTTTGGACATAGTAGTAAGAGCTATTCAATGACATGACAACCCAAGGCACAGTACTTCTATACTGGCAAGAAATAGTTATATGTAGACTCTTATAATAATTTATATATTATTTAATACAATAACTCACTAATTATATCTTTCCTTTACTAGTATCAGAATTTTACAGTAGATGGAAATCCGTGGCAGTGTTGACAAAGTTTTCACCTGCTTTCGTTTCTTGTTGAATACACCCACCTGAGCACTTCCTCTGTAGCTGCCTTCATCACTACTCTCAGAAGAACTAGAACTGGAGGAAGAAGAGCTACTGCTGCTGCTTGGGACTTTCTTTCTTGGATACTGCAACAATTGAAGAATCATCCTTAATCAAATGACTTACAAGACAGTTCACAGAAAGTGGTTCCACAAGTTATTTTTAACACTTTTCTTCTCAGTGGACCAAATCCTGCTCCCCCCCCCCTGAAGTCAGTGAAACCGGTGTTTGGCCCTGCGTGCAAAGAGCAGAAAATGTACCTGTTCTCTGTGTGCTGACGTGAACCGATACTGATAAATTTCTGGATCAGCCTGTGAAAATACACAAGAAGTGGAAGTAACTCCCATGAAAGCTACTTTGGCTTACTGCTCGAAAAGATGCAGCACAAAATATGGCAAAATATTAGATAAGAATTTCAGTAATAAAATATACGCAACACTCAAATCTGAGTGACTCAGAGAATCTCAGAAGTTAGAGATGGAAAAGATCTATATTAGATCACCTAATCTATCACCATGATGGCAGAGAGCAATCATAGAATCATAGAATATCAGGGTTGGAAGAGACCTCAGGAGGTCATCTAGTCCAACCCCCTGCTAAAGCAGGACCAATCCCCAACTAAATCATCCCAGCCAGGGCTTTGTCAAGCCTGACCTTAGAAACCTCTAAGGAAGGAGATTCCACCACCTCCCTAGGTAATCCATTCCAGTGCTTCACCACCCTCCTAGTGAAAAAGTTTTTCCTAATATCCAACCTAAACCTCCCCCACTGCAACTTGAGACCATTACTCCTTGTTCTGTCATCTGCTATCACTGAGAATAGTCTAGATCCATCCTCTTTGGAACCCCCTCTCAGGTAGTTGAAAGCAACTATCAGATCCCCCCTCATTCTTCTCTTCTGCAGACTAAACAATCCCAGTTCCCTCACCTCTCCTCATAAGTCATGTGCTCCAGCCCCCTAATCATTTTTGTTGCCCTCCGCTGGACTCCTTCTAGTTTTTCCACATCCTTCTTGTAGTGTGGGGCCCAAAACTGGACACAGTACTCCAGATGAGGCCTCACCAATGCCGAATAGAGGGGAATGATCATGTCCCTCGATCTGCTGGCAATGCTCCTACTTATACAGCCCAAAATGCCGTTAGCCTTCTTGGCAACAAGGACACACTGTTGACTCATATCCAGCTTCTCGTCCACTGTAACCCCTAGGTCCTTTTCTGCAGAACTGCTTCCTAGCCATTCGGTGCCTAGTCTGTAGCAGTGCATGGGATTCTTCCGTCCTAAGTGCAGGACTCTGCACTTGTGCTCGTTGAACCTCATCAGATTTCTTTTGGCCCAATCCTCTAATTTGTACAATATATTTTTATTACTTTGCCCAGTGCTCCATATGCTTCTAGTTTCCAGCCATTGTACAAACAGGGAAGTAAGAGTAAATTGTACTAGTGCCACTGGACTCTCTGGGTCTAATTCTGCCCTCAGTTATGTGAGTGTAACTCTCATTCAAATCAATGAAGTTACTCCTGTGACGGGGCAGAATTGGTCCCTATATCATTAATTCATAATGCATAATTTCTTGATTTATAACAACGTGCATAAAGTAACGTAATTATTACCAGAAATATAATTCATACAGACCTAAAAGAGTCTGAATGAGTTACCTGCTGTTTGGAATACTCGCTGTCACTGCTGCTGCTACAGCTCCTCACTGGTTTGTCACTTTTCCCTTGCAGTTCTTTGTTTGCAGCATGATCCTCTTCACTGCTACTGCAGCTTCTGCTGTTACTACTGTCACTGCTACTGCTGCTGCTGCTGCCACCACGACTACTACTGCTGCTGCTTCTTTCCCTTTGTCTAGCTTGCCATGTTTTGTCTTTCGTGTCTGTATTCCTGTATTTGTCACCAACAGAAGAGGAGGAGGAGGAGGAAGATGATGATGAGGACGATGATGAGGATGAGCTGGATTGATACTTAGCAGCTGGATCTGTGCTAATTTCTGCAATTTTGGCTTTATCTTTCTTGGCGGCCTGCTTCTTAAGATGCTGATGTGCACTTCTGTTTGCAGCCTGCAAGTCCAATCAAATGTTACTTCGAAGAATTATATCAGTTAGCGAGAATCATTTTCCTATCATAGTCAGTGCAATGTTATTGAATTTAAAGCCACTTGCATGTTCTTGACTTACCAGGAATAATAGCTTCATTGCTTTGGGAATTATATATTATGTGTTATGAGGAAAACATTCAGGTCTCCTATTTCCCTATGTTGGAAACAATCCATCTAAGGTACAGGAGATTTCGTGATTCTTCCTCCAAATCATTTAGCAGGGTTAGCCCTGCCTCTTGACGAACAGGGCACTTTGCCCCATAAACTTAGCTTTTCAGATGCAGGATATCCGCAGGACACAGGAGAAGCTTTCTGGAGGCCCAAGATCTCCACATTGCTCCCTTGGTTCCCATCCTCCTTTGTAGCACAGCTCCCTTCGGGATCTAGTCAATTTCACATTCTGTATCTCATCATATACTAGCACAATGCTGCAATGTTTGAATTGTAAACACTGAGAGGGAAGGTTTCATATAGAATCATAGAACTGAAAGGGATCTCGAGGGATCATCTAGTCCAGTCCCCTGCACTCATGGCAGGATTAATTATCTAGACCATCCCTGACAGGAGTTTGTCTAACCTGCTCTTAAAAATTTCCAATGATGGAGATTCCACAACCTCCCTCGCCAATTTATTCCAGTGCTTAATCACCCTCACAGTGAGGAAGTTTTTCCTAATGTCCAACCTAAATCTCCCTTACTGCAATTTAAGCCCATTGCTTCTTGTCCTATCCTCAGATGTTAAGAAAAACAATTTTTCGTCCTCCTCCTTGTAACAACCTTTTACGTACTTGAAAACTGTTATCATGTCCCCCCCTCAGTCTTCTCTTTTCCAGACTAAACAAACCCATTTTTCTCAATCTTCCCTCATAGATCATGTTTTCTAGACCTTTAATCATTTTTGTGGCTCTCCTCTGGACTCTCTCCAATTTGTCCACATCCTTCCTGAAATGTGGTGCCCAGAACTGGACACAATACTCCAGTTGAGGTCTAATCAGAGTGGAGTAGAGCAGAAGAATTACTTCTCGTGTCTTGCTTACAACACTCCTGCTAATACATCCCAGAATGATGTTCACTTTTTTTGCAACAGCGTTACACTGTTGACTCATATTTAGCTTGTGATCCACTATGACCCCCAGATCCCCTTCCGCAGTACTCTTTCCTAGGCAGTCATTTCCCATTTTATATGTATGCAACTGATTGTTCTTTCCTAAATGAAGTACTTTGCATTTGTCCTTATTGAATTTCATCCTATTTACTTCAGACCATTTCTCCAGTTTGTCCAGATCATTTTGAATTTTAATCCTATTCTCCTGCCCAGCTTGGTATTGTCTGCAAACTTTATAAGTGTACTCTCTATGCCATTATTTAAATAATTGATGAAGATATTGAACAGAACCAGACCCAGAACTGATCCCTGCGAGACCCCACTCAATATGCGCTTCCAGCCTGACTGTGAACCACTGATAACTACTCACTGGGAACAGTTTTCCAACCAGTTTTGCACCCACTTTATAGTAGTTCAATCTAGGTTGCATTTCCATAGTTTGTTTATGAGAAGTCATGTGAGACAGTATCAAAAACTTTACTAAAGTCAAGATATACCACATCTACCACTTCCCCCCATCCACAAGGCTTGTTACCCTGTCAAAGAAAGCTATCAGGTTGGTTTGACACAATTTGTTTTTGACAAATCCATGCTGACTGTTACTTTTCACCTTATTATCTTTTTGCAAATTGATTGCTTAATTATTTGCTCCATTATCTTTTCAGGTACAGAAGTTAAGCTGACTGGTCTGTAATTCCCCAGGTTGTCCTTATTTCCCTTTTTATAGATGGGCACTATATTTGCCCTTTTCCAGGCTTCTGGAATCTCTCCCATCTTCCACGACTTCTCAAAGATAATCGCTAATGGCTCAGATATCTACTCAGTCAGCTCCTTGAGTATTCTAGGATGCATTTCATCAGGCCCTGGTGACTTAAAGACATCTAATTTGTCCAAGCAATTTTTAACTTGTTCTTTCCCTATTTTAACCTCTTCTGATCCTACCTCATTTTCACTGGCATTCACTACATTAGACATCAAATCACAACCAACCTCGGTGAAAACCGAAACAAACAACAAACAACTTCTTTATTTGAAATGTAATAATAAGATACTGAATAGGTCTGATTTAATTAGGCTTTTAACTCTTATTTCCTTCCTTTTTAGTTTAACAAGCCTAAACTACCTGACACTGTCCCTGCAGCATATACTTTTCTTACTCTTTAGAAAATATTTACAGTTCTAACTAAATCAAACTCTGTTTTTTTCTGCAGCTTTCCCTCTAATTTTGTAGGACCATTTATTTTGTTTTGGGATTTGTTGTTGTTCAATTATCTTTCATTTCAAACCAAGTCAGTTACCTTAAATATACTTTCAATTCCTAGGATCTTCTTCAGTTTTGTTTGAACCACGTCATCTGGAGTTGAATCATCATCTTCCTCTGACACTGGGGTTACCAGCTGGATTATTCTGAAAGCTGCTCTGGATCCTGCCTGAATCTCCAGCTGTATTTTGTCAATAGCAGCATCTGTACGGACTAAACACCAGGCACACGCATTAAGGGATATACTGCTTTAGTTGTACTGATGTGGATAAATGGAAATTTTTGTGCAGAATGCGATACCTGGTTTCAAAACTAATTTGATTTCATGCTCTCCAACCAATCTGTATAGAAATGTATCTTTTAAGAAAGCAGCATCTCGTAATTGCAGATTAAGGCAGGTTTGGCAACCCAAACTATGTAATTTGCTACAAAAGACTCGTGCATAAGATCTTCCTCCAGCTCTGTGGTGAAATTCCTCTTCTGGGCCATAGGAATATTTCTCGGACATCCCGTCAGAAGCTGTTCTTTGCTGCATTAAACAGAAACATGGCAGGTTTAAGGGGAATTGGAGGGGAAGCAAAAATGACTCAAAACTGGTGCAGGACTCCCAAGCAGCAGCTGGCCCACTCTTAAAGGGGATTCCCAGCATGAAGGGCACTTAGCAAAGCAGAGCCTGGGGCTCTGTTACCATTTGCACTGATTCCCACAGGGCTTGGGAAGCAAAATGCACATCCTGCTCCCTGCCCTCTCCATCCTGCCTGAGGCCTACACCTTCCACGTGGATCTGATGTCCCAGGGAAGCCTCTCTATGGGGTACTGGGAAGAGGAAGAGAGCCCCATGGATATGGATGATCCCTCCTACAGTGTGTCAGATCTGCACACTTAGGATCTACTCTGCACAGAAATGAGAGGAATGAGCAGACCAAGAGTAAAGATTCCATCACTTGGCCCATTACATTCTATGGCAGCAATGTATATGAAAACTGATTTTAAATGGTCTGAACACCTAAGTCCCATTGATTTCAACAGGAGTTATGGGAGCTCAGCACTTCTGAAAATCAGATCCATTATTTATCTATCTATCTGTTCATCCATCTATTCATTATCTATCCATCCATCTATCTATCCATTAACTATCCATCCATCTATCCATCCATCTATCAACCTATCCATTATCTATCCATCCATCCATTATCTATCCATCTATCTATAATATAGAAATACAGGAGTGTTAATTACCGTCATGGCACCATTTATTGAAGTCCTTTCTGGTGATTTAAAACGTTGCTCAGAGACATCCGATACAGCTTCTTCTGGTAGAACTGAAGATCTCTTTGCTGAAGTTATCTCTTCCACATTTCTTGAAATAGCATAAACTTTAGTCCTGTGGGGATAGGCACAATACACTACTTGTAAATGGCTCTATCGATAATATACTTTATTCTGATTTTTCACAGGCCTGCTATTTTTAATCCAGAAGAGATAGAGGTGATGCTAGTTGGCAGAAGAAAGCAATCTGAAGAAATAACAAGGGTTTTGACTGCTCTGTTTGTTGGTGGAGTCTACTCATCCCTTTCAAAAGACATTCACAACCTTAAGTTGTTGGGGGCTCTCTGTTACTGTTGGATTCCCATGTAAAGATAGTGGCTCAGAGTACTTTGTTTTATCTGTGGATAATAAAGGTAATCTATGACCTCTCCTTGCCACAGATACTGCCTTTGTCATGTCCAGATTGGACAACTGCAATACATTCTAAATGGAGCTGTCATTGACGCTGCCCTTCATCTACTTAGTGAAATGCAAACTACAACTGTTCTCCATGTACTGCCCCGGCTCCCCATCTGTGTCTGGTTGAAATCAGGTGTTGGTTCTATCCTGCAAAGCCCTACATGATTTGGATCTGGCTCTTTTAGAGATTGTCTCTCTCCCTAAGTCCCACCAAAACTGCTGAGATGAACTGATGTGTTTTGAGGACATTCTGTAGCTGTGATGACTTGAGGATTGGAGGTAGAGCACTTTCAGTCTAGGTCCCACTTATGGAACTCCTTCTCTCAAGTGGCCCTCCAGAACTTAAATTTACTGCCCTGCTGAGTACAGTTCAAGACACATCATGTTATGAACAATGGTTCTGCAGTGGGCTATTTATGGTTAATTAGAGTCGATACAGTATGTTGCTTAATGTGGACAGTCCCATTTAATCAGTTTCATATTTCTAGATGCTAACAGCATGAGCGCATAACAATTATTTACTAAATAAAATGTTAGAGTAGTTCAGCTCTGTATGAGCCAAACAAAGGATTATAAAGGCAGGGGCATTTAGAAGTGCACTAATGGCAATTACTCTACGAGTTAACTTGTATTTAACCACTAGAAGTGCACTGGGCCTGATTCTGTAGTCCTTACTTAGGCAAAATCCTCATTGGCTTCATTGCCTGAGTCAGGACTTCAGGATGAGGGCCATTAAATGACAGAGGACTGAAATTGCCAGTAAAGTGAAATACAAAAAAATACATCCTGAACATGGTGAACAAAAGAAAATATTTAGCATTCTATAACTATCCTACTACAGCAAAGTCTTAGCAAAAAGCCGTGTCTTTAACATTTTATAATAGGTAATTCACCATCAGTTGTACAGAAGAGTTAAAACTAGGGTGACCAGATAGCAAGTGTGAAAAATCAGGACGGGGGTGAGGCATAATAGGAGCCCATATTAAAAAAAGCCCCAAATATCGGGACTGGTCCTATAAAATCGGGACATCTGGTCACCCTATTTGAAAGTAAACAAAGTAAATATAACTGCTGTACCTTGCAGTCACTAGCTCAGTTTCCTGGTGGCACGGAGTTGTTTCAAACTTCAAACTTTTATCTTTCATGTTTATTTTGGCATAAAATTTCATTGGGATGTTGGCATGGAACTTGGCATGAAATTCAAGACCACTCTGAAAGTACTGTGTATTGATTCCCATCATTGCCACTGTATGCGTGTATATGCTGAAAGAGAGGGAAAATACAAACATGCATAACCATATACATTGATAAATATATACTTAGAAAGCACACTTTGAAATGTAGAATTCACTGTATATAAATATCTTTTTTGGAAATCAGAGTTTGCTGCTATAAGAGGAAAAATGTCAATCAATCTATTGACAGACAAAGATATATACCACATATGTGGAGGTGAGATCCATGTGACAAATTGCAGAGTCATGTGATAAATGAATTTAACATGGACTTTTAGACCTCCTCACCTGCCCTCTTCACTTCTAATCCATCACCCCAGTTCTTATTCTAATATTAGAAAACCCTGAGCTCTTTCAAACAGCTGATATTTTTAAAAAATCAACTCGCTACAAAAATATTTCTTCTCCCCTCCCACTCCCCTCCCCCTGCAAAAAAAAATTACACTAGCCTGAGGCCCAGGATGACCATATTTAGTGCTGCACCAGTAGCAGCTTTTTTTCTATGTAAAATGTCATGACTTTACATCTGATATCACTCATCCCTGAAGGGGCAGAAATAGAAGCTTTATGGGAAGTGGTAGAATCCCAATTTGGATCCAGCACACACTGATAGCACTGCAAGGTCTGGGATAACATGACATTTTTTAGGCATAGAAAAGCTATTTTATGTCTTGTTTAGAGATACTTATATGGTTCTCTCTGAGGCCTGTACAACTGGATTAATGATGACTAAGTCACCCAGCAGTGTAGGCACAAAAAAACATAATTCCAGGATATTTTTTTTAATGCTCTGTAATGTATGTGGCAAGTATAGAACATGATGTAGTATGGAATAAAAGATTTAACAGCATCTATTTGGATTGACCTATATAACTTACACATGGCTTCACCCTCGTGAATAATTCAGCTATCCCAAATCCCTGCCAATAAAATTATACCATACCATCATATTTATATACATATATATCCTAGTTTTCCTCACCTTGGGTTGATATCAGCATGAAGTTGCACATTGGCATCAAAGAACTGCAAAGGTTTAAAACTGCCAGATAAAGAGGGGGACATATTTACACCAACTGTAAGAGATAGAAAAGAATTATAGCAAAGGCAAAACAATAAATTAAGAGTTCCAAATTGACAGTTTTGCTAAAATAATAATAATTAGCACTTAGGTAGCACCATTTCATCTTCAAAACACTTTACAGAATTAAGAAGGGCCCAGTTTTGCCCTTGTAGTGCCCACTAAAATGAATCAGGAGTTATACACCTGTATTCAAGAGCAGCATTTATATTCAGCTAATTAATTCTCACACCACGTATGATGTAATGATGTATTACTACCTCCATATTAGAAATCGGGAACCTGAGACAAAGAAGGTAGGCGATATGCCAAGACTACAGAGGGATTTAATGTTAGACCAGGAATTAGAACTCTGAAATTCCTATGTGTTGAGGTGAAAACATTAAATGATGCTTTTCAAAACTCACCGTTGGCTGCAGCATGTATCAGACCAGTACTATATAAACTGAGTTCTAGTGGCAGGCCAACACAGGTAGGGACAATGTGCCGAACTTCTCCTGCCAATATTGCCAGTGTCCATTGTCCTGCAATGCCTCTTTGGATTTGATTGATCACGTTCTTCACTAACATGTGCCTATCTGATGATTCAGTCAGAGCCTACAAAGGGACAAAGATCCAGAAGGTTAAGTGGAGGGAGCAGAAGGGCAGGGAGGAAACTGTGAAGCCCCTCAGACAAAACAGAAAAATAGGAGCAATCAATACCTTCACTGTCTGTTGAATGAGCTCCTTGTTGACATCAGCAAAGGCGAGCTCATGGCCAAATACTTTTACATAGGCTGATATGAGTGGGTTTTCAGGAGGCAGTTCCTTCCATCCCAGAAGCTAGAGAAAAAATGTTGTTAATATATAGGACTGTATTAACAAATACTGGGTCAAATCCTGAGGATGTTACTAGGCTTATTCAGGCAAAACTACCATTGACCTCACTGTGAATTTGCCCATGTAGCACCTGGGTAAAGACGGTGGTAAACAGTGGGCTACATCATAAAGAAAAAAATCATATACAGCAATCATTTTTTAAAAGAAAATTGATATATTGTATTTTAACATGCACTTTAATTTTTGTATTAATTATTACCATCATCATCATCTGTACTGGCCCCAATTAGGATCAAGGCACCCTTGTGCTAGGCACTGACACATATACAGCAAAAAGATGGTGCCTATCCCAAAGAGCTTGCAGTGTATGGCTAGATATGTCATTTGGGGCTTACTCATGTACTCCTCATTCACTGACACTTCCGTGGGAGTTTTGGCTGGGTAAGAAATGCAGTACCAGTTTGTAATATATTTCAAACAGATGTGAAGAAAGAATACACATACCGTCTTCCCAAGCACCTTCAATTTTTTGTATGTGTCATATTCAGCAAAGGGGATGTTCTGTTTCCTGACGAGCTCTGTTAGGCCTTGTGATTGGAGAGCCACCTATGCAAAACAAATAAAATCAGGCAGACCAGACTATGACACAGTTAAAACAGAGAGAGTGAAGGAGTATCAAAAATTAGTCTTTACTAGGTGAAAGCCATGAGAAAACTATTAATGAAGGAGAGAGAAAATATGGAGCACCAGATTTCACCACTGTCACGAGCAGTCGTGACTCCATTAAAGTCAATAAAATTACATCTGTGTATCTAGTAATGGATCTGGCTCAACGAGTTGCGGGAAATCCCTAGTATAACCTTTACACATATATATGATAGGCAGTTATGGTTCAGGTTTACAGACAGCTATTCAGTGAGCCTTCTGAGATTTCCTTTACTTTTGTTACATTTTATTCCATACTGAATGCTTTCATAGCCTCTCTCATCAGAGTCTATAGGCCAAGAGGGCCAAGGACAATTGCAATCAGACTCCTTCCCTCTGCACCAGCCCCTATTCAGGGCTGTGGTGAAATGCTGCAGTCCATCCAGAAGGCTTCCATGAGAAATATTTGTATAGGTCTGATTGTTGTTCTAAATGTAATATTTACCTCGACAAAATCAGTTGCGGTATTTGCATAGTAACCTCTCAGTTTCATAATTATCGCAGATGGCAACATACTGCTTGGACTGTTCATGAGATAGACTCTTCCAATTGCGCCAGCTCTATATTCCGCTATAGTAGAAATCAAAATACAGCAGAGATTTGGTTTTCACTGTAGTGTCCAATGATATCTTGTGCACATAAGGTATAATCACCATATGTGTGTAATCATGTAAATGAGTCTGTCAGCATTGATTTCTATGGGTTGCCCAATCTTCATATACAAAGTCTCTCTGAGGGGAGAATTTGGAATCATGGCCATTCTGGGAGGTGAGGCGGCAGGTCTGAGGAATATTGGGTCTCTACACAAATACCTCAGTCCATAGCTGAAGTCTAGAGATCCACAGCATTCTCCATAGATCCTGAGACATCTGCAGTTTAGTTTTTCCTACTCCAGGAATGGACAAATCCCACTGCCAATGGCAGGATTTCAGTTGAAATTCAGGGCATTTCATAGCTTTTCTATGGGAATTTTCTAAGAATATAGTATTAGCCAAAGCAGTTCCACAGCATATCTGGTACTCACGGTAATAACCACCAACGTGAATAACCTTGCTGTACCGATAGCTCAGCCTGTCAAGTCTTGGGCTCAGTAGTTTAAGGGCAATGTTGCAAGCAGCAGATCTAAGTAAAATGAATAATAATGCTCCATAATAACTGAATTCACTTTGCATTTATACTTAGAAAATTGTAATGGAAATCACTACTTACAATGGAAAGTTTTACTTCTCTTTTTACTTACACATTATAGAGCTGTGGGATCCTGCTTATTGCCAAAACCTTCATATGGGAATATGTGAAACTGGCGACCTGCAAACTGCTCTCCGTTAGCAGAGCATTGGCCATAGTTGTTACGAGAGGAAGAGCAGGCTTAGTTTCAAAGATGACAACACAAGCCATCATTCGGACAGTAGGAGCAAGTGAATGGTCCACAAAGATCTGGAGAAGAATTTCCCGTACCTGGAGGGGAAAAAAAACACATTTCCAGATCCTGATAACTTCTTAGGGTGTATTCTCCCTTTAAAATAATGCAGTTTGCACTGGTGAGTCACCCACACATATTGAGGGAGAATAAAACTGAAAGTATGGACGACTTTGCAACGTAGGCACTGATGCACAAAGGTAAGTATTGTTGGGACACAATGAACAGAAGTGGGGTGGAATTGTCATTAATAATATGCCCAGTCTTGCAATTTAGGATGACCTTATTCCCACTGACATCAGGGAGAGTATAGTGTGTGCAATTAGGGAAGGATCAAAGTAATTTGTATTCACCATTGCTTACACTACTTGCTATCAGTGGGATTTCCGTACATAGATTGTAGTCACTTAGATACCACAGTAATGAGCATGGTATAAAGGCACAGACAGACACATAGACAGTGAATTAACACACACTCTCTCTCCCCTGTATTATTTAAGTTCATAAAAGATCACAACATATGGTATAGGAAACAGTATTCTTTTTCATCTGCAGTTTATAATTCTCATAAAGAATCCTAAAAAACAAGAAAGTGCCTATCCTCATTACATTTTTATAGTTTTACTTTTTAGAATGAGATCCCGCAGTCCTTTTCTACTTAAAATTCCCACTGATGTCAGTGTGAGCTTTGAGTGCACAGCAACCACACAATCAGGAATGCCTGTACTACTGATTATACACTTTGATTTGATTTTTTATTTATCCTCACATTGATCAACTTTCAGCTTATGCATTCATCTATTATTTATGTCCAGCCACATATATGTGAAGAGCTAAGGGCAGATCCTCAGCTGTATAAATTGCTGTAGATAGGTCCATTGGTGTCAGTGGGCCTATGCAACTTCACACCAGCTGGGAATCTACCCCTAGTGCATTTCCTAGCAGTGCTAGAGACAAAACAATCAACAAAGCTGGTGAATGGAACCATTTTTGAGAACCCATGTCATGAGCCATGTTAAAATGATTTAACAATATTTTACTCCTTCTGAATTAATATAAAAGCATTTCTTGTCTTAATTTTAAAGTCTCATATAGCCACAATATGGTGTATCGGTCACAAATTATTTTGGGCTCAAACTTACTTCCACTGCAGTCAATGGCCAAACTCTTCTTGATTTCAATGAGACCAAGGTCAGAGGGAGCAGTCTTTAATTGTGTACATAAGCAGCATTACAGGTCTAGGAGGTACAACATTAAACAATGCAAACCAGATCCTCAGTTGGGGTAAATCAGTGTAGTTCCACCGAAGTCAATGGAGCTATGCTGAGAATCTGGCCTTGGGTATCTGATATTACATACTGAGTTCACAAACAGTGTGTCACTGACTTGACCTGCATTACATCCTGTATTCTTTATGTCCGATGAGTTTGTTTAAACAATAGTTTCACTTACTTTTGCAGGGTCTTTCCTGGCTATTTTTCTCAAGGCCAAAACAGCATCAATATAAATTCTAACTGGAAAAGCCATTGCGGCAGGTGAAAATATTGGCAAGAACTTCAGGATGCGCTTGATACTGGCTGGTTCTCCTGCATTGCCAATGGCTTTCAGAGCCAAGGCCATGTCATCTTCATGGTTCTTGCTGATTGCCTCGGCTGCAAGGTCGTGGAGAGGCTGCAAACAAAGCAAGAATGTGTAGCTTTGTTAATTCAGATAATAATCTCACGTGTACACACTGCCATCCTTGCCCACAGGGAATAAAAAGCCTTTCGCTCCAAGACTTTGCTCTCTTCTTTGAGCTGAACCTTGCACATTTCACTCCCAGGCTCTCATTACCATAGTGCCAAATATAGAAAACAGCAAGGAGCACTCACTGACTAGTGTAACTTTCCCTGCGTTATAGCTGGGCCAGGTTCATCCCTGTTCGCCCGCCCAAAGCAAATTGCACCTCCCCACACCAGCCTGGCCCCTGAGCCCTGGGGGAATTCACAGAGAGGGTGACTCTCTCAGTGATTCTGTTGCAGCTTCCAGATCCCCATAAAATAGGCACCAAATTCAGTATTGCCAACACCCCTGGCAATCTCCATTAGGCACTGCTAAATGTGTTCCCCTATATTCTCATAACTTCATCTAAATGTTTTCTGCTTCCCAGATTCATTGGGTAGGATTGACCCATATGACAAGGACAGATTACTTTTGTACAGGCTTTCCTTTGTTTAGCCCTTTTGTGCTGGTTTTCAAGGTTTAAACACATTCTGATGTCAACAGACCATTCATCTCAGTACTCTGGTACTTATGAACATAGGAAGAGACCTCCATAGTCTGAAGACAATGATCAGAGAAGACCTGGGGACAGAGTACAATCATGAAGTTTCTTCTTAAGATGGTCATTTTAGGAGCATGACTTGGGATATATCTGGAGCTTCATTTATAGTGGCATTGAGGAGTAATGGTAACAATGTAGTAGCATGTACAGGAACATATACCATAGTACTCTTCTTATAATCCTACAAGTTGCCACTCATTGTAAATTCAATTTCAACTTGTTTAGAGAATCCATTTTCCTTATGGACTATCACCACTTGCATTCAAAATTCTGAACGGTTAAGGTTTTTCAAAGAGCTTCCACTCACCTTCTAATTTTGTTTGTGATTTTGCAGTTGATCATAGCTGCAAATGATGGAATTTAAACCTCCATTGTCCTGATTTACACTCAACTAGGTGGGAACTAACCTAGAGGCAGTTTCTGAAATTTCTTCAGGTATTAAAAAATCTGAAATAAAACCCACTCACCTGAAGAATTTTATTAGGACAAGATGATGACACAGAACAATATCTGTTTATCATGGAACCATATGCCAGGAAAGCAAGCTTGCGAAGCATAGGAGCTCTCTGAATTCGGAAGCTGGTCACTAGATCCTGCAGAAGTAAGAAGCAGCACATCTTAATATTGGTATCCAGTAAAAATCATATTTAGTTGAATGTTCACCTTACCTATTAGAACAAACCAGAAACTATCTTGGATTTTCCCAGGTATTTTCAGTAAAAAGAAATCAGACTTGTAACAATTTCAGACATATGACCAGGATGTGAAGTTGCTGTGATATTACTGACGGTAACTAATTTTTCTCACACATTAATGATCAGAGTGGGTCTAAATTGTCCACATTTCTATTTTTGGCCAAAAAAAAATGATAAAAATTTTCATAGATTTTTTGGGGGGATTTGACCAGCTATCATCAAATATCCAAGGTGTTTAAACATTTTCAATGATTGAAAAATTTCATCAAAATATCAAAATTTTTCTAATTACCCATAACTTTACAGTGAACTGCTTTAAAGAGGAAATATGTCATATCCACCACATATCACTGTGTAAATTCACTAATAAAAGTGGATTGTGGCCTACTAGTAGAAGGAGGACCCACCACATGGACATTACACCACACGCCAATATCCTGGATACCACAATCAGCTTCAACAATGGAATCCTATAGACAACTATATACAAGAAACCCACGGATCACCACACCTACATTCACAGATCCAGTAACCACCCCAAACACACCAAGAAATCTGTTATCTACAACCGGGGACTCAGATACCACAGAATATGCTCTAAGGGGAAAGTCCAGGATGTACACCTTAACACACTTAAAATCGCCTTCACCAAACAAGGACACTCCCCCAGAGAAGGAGATCACATCATGGAACAGGCCATCCAAATACACCAAGAGAATCTGCTTCAATACAGAAAAAACACCTGCTTTGACTCTGCAAACCTAGTTGTTTCCTGCCACCCCGTACTGGGGCCCATACAGGGTATCACTCAACAGTTACAATCCAGACTCGATGGGGACCACATCTGGAAAGAAATCTTTCCCAGGCCCCCTCTTCTGGCCTTCAAACAACTGCCCGGTCTCTCCAAGCTCATCATCAGAAGCAAGCTCCACATATATCAGGTCCTACCAACTAAAGCGGCACCAGACCCTGCCATAACAGATGCAAAACCTGCAGATGTATCTCCACTTCTATAATGATAAAAAAAACCACAACACATCTTTCAAGATCAATGGGTCTTACACATGCCTGTCACAACATGTGGTGTATCTCATCCAATGCACTAAATGCCCCAGTACAACTATGTGGGTGAAACTAGACAATCACTACATTCTCAAATGAACTCAAACAGAAAAATGTTTAAAGATAAAAACACCATATCGGGGTGGGTGAACACTTTTCACAAAATGATCACTCCATATCTGACCCCTCAGTTCTCGTCCTCAAAGGAAACCTGCACAACACCTTCAAAAGACAAGCCTGGGAGCTTAAATTCATAATGTTGCTATCCTATGGCTGCAGTGATGTTAACTGGACACTTCACTTTGAATAGTCTCTCAGAATGTAACTACTTCTGGTAAACAATCTGTTCCACCCTGTGTTTAGCATGACAATAAGGGCAGATCTACACTGCAGCATTACTTCAGTATAACTACATCTCTCAGGGTACGTCAGGGTAAATCTAGCGGGGATCGATTTATCGCGTCTAGTGTAGACGTGGATAAATCGATCCCCGATAGCTCTGCCGTCGACTCCGAAACTCCACCACGGTGAGAGGCGGAAGCGGAGTCGACGGGGGAGCAGTGGCCGTCAATCCCGGGCCGTGAGGATGCGAAGTAAGTGATTCTAAGTCGATCTAAAATATGTCGACTTCAGCTACGCTATTCTCGTAGCTGAAGTTGCGTATCTTAGATCGATCCCCCCCTAGTGTAGACCAGGCCTCAGGGATGTGAAAAATCCCCACTCCTGACTGATGTAGTTATACCAACCTAATAAGTGACAGCATAGACAGTTCTATGTCGGTGGGGGGGCTTTTCCTGCCGACATAGCTACTATCTCTCGTGGGGGATTAACTACACCGATGGGAGAGCTTTCTCCCATCAGCGTAGAGCGTCTTCATTAAAGCACTACAGCTGCACTCATGCAGCTGTGCCAGTGCAGCATTTTAAGTGTAGACTTGCCCTGAGTACCTGTCCTACACCTGAAGAGCAGCTCTGTGTCGTTTGAAAGCTTGTCTCTTTCACCAACAGGAGATAGTCCAGTAAAATATATTACCCCCCCCCACCTTGTCTCTCTAGTAGAAGAATTACAAGACAACAGAATGAGGAATGATCCTCTGTATTGTACTCACTGCTACAGCTTGTAAAGTGTGATCATCAGCTTTGGATAAATGGAAGGCGAGAGCGATAGTCAGAGCTGATTCCAAATAGCTGAGGTCCTCATTATGAATTTTTTGCTTAAGGAACATGAATGTCTCAGTAGTTCCTGCTGCACAGATTGCGCTCAATAACCAGCGCCTGTAAACAAGAGGAGGCATCCTTTATTTTCATTGTCAGAATTTCTCTATTCAGAAATGTTGCTTGAGAGTGATACAGTCAATTACCTATATTGAGGTTTATCGGCACATTGTTTCCAAAGAGACTCAAGGTTTTCAGGCGTTGCCACACGGCAAAGCTGTATAAGTTCTAAGAATTTGGCTGGAGCTTCTCTATTGTACCCTTGTTGATTATGCTGAATTAATTGTTGCAGTATTTCTACTATCTGATACAAAAACAGAAGGCAGAAGGGATTACAAGATATCTTAAGTGTCTGAAATAATTTGCTGATCTTCCATTAGCTTTATAAATAATGAAAGAGCCTAAAATATTAAGCATCTCATACCTGTGATTTAGGATTTTTCATCTTTATTAGATGAATTGGCATCTGGAGTAGTTCTCTTGCAAAATCGTAACGAAGACTTCCGTAGTTTTGCAACTGAATTTCTGATGGGCTTGCTTGGCTGTTTTTAATATCACTCAAAGTGAGTTCTTGCCTGCAAGGAAAAGAGTGAAATTTAGCATAACATTTTACTTTGGGTGCTCCATTTGTCTAAGCTAAATCCAGTGGATATTATAGCTGAATTAAAGACTTCCAACAATAATTTCACATTGTCTGCAAATGGATCAGAAAATTCTCAAATTTATTCATTATTCAAAATCATTGAAATTTCTTGAGGTTATCATTTTACATTTGCAGATTGTTCACAAACTGTTCAGTAAGAATATTAACAAGTCACTCCATGTTGGTTATTTATATAAGCCATCAGGGTGTTGGGAGGCTTAACTGAAGTTTGTAAACACATGGAGATCTCTGGCTAAAAATATCAAGTGTACAATATGAGCGTGTATGAAACTTGCAACAACATGAACATTTTTACAGTAAAAAGTTTAGATTTAAATCTCACAGCTTCTCTATCATTTTAACAAGGCAAACTGAGGCGACATTAGTATTAACAGCATCTTACTGATATTTACATTTCTCAGATATTTCATTTTACTTACCCATGGCACGTACCCTATGCAAAAGTGAAATGCCATGAACAGCAATTTGGGCTGCATTAATTACAGAGAAGAAACTTAGATACAGGTAGAGACACGTAAGGCCAGATCACTCCTCTGAATGCCAAAAACTAACAAAAGAACCATCCCGTTGCAGCATTTTTGTTTTATTCCCAAAGTCTTGGTGAATGTATTTTAAATGTATTCTCCCAGTTCTGATCATTATACTCATTTACAGTATAATGGCTGAGGCCTACCTTGCTTCCATGACAGCAACACCAGCAGGTTCACTGAAAGGGGAGATCTGATAGACCTGCTGGGACACAGCTTGTGTGATCAGGGTGCCAGCATCTGTGTATTTCATTTTGTAGGTGAATGCAGCTGTTCCTTTTATGATCTTTTCTTTCTAAAAGGGCAAAGAACTCATAGTAAATGAGAACAGACCATTGTTTAACTCCAGCTTTATTATGAATGGGCTAAATTCACCATTGAAATGAGTATTCTCCATCTCTGTTTAAATCAGTTCAGTGATATGTGTATACGCCTGCAGTTAATTTGGCATTATAGGTTTATATGTTCCATACCAGTGGGCAAGTAGCACAAGGGCGGATGTAAGCCATTCCAATGTTCTTCAGCACTTTATCCTGGCAGTTGTTGAGGTCTTTGGTTTTGAATACTGTGATTCGGTTACTCTTCTTGTCTTCCTGGATAATGTACCTTGTATGGCAGACACCTCCAATCCCGGCCTATAGAGATTGATAGAGCTTAATTGCATTCCTCATTTGAAACAGACTTTAATTCCAGGACAAGGAGCAGGTGAACAAGTAACCTTCCTGGAAACTGTATCTGAACCAAAATATATAATAAAATTATAATAAAAAATGAATGTTTGTTCTCATGGCAAAGTAGAATTAGAAAGGAAAAACAAACCTCTTGCAAGTCATATGCATTCTGTGACTTTTTGAGAGTTATCTGCAACATGTTCAGAATCCCTCTCATTAGGTTAACACATGTGACAGGAGTATCTTTGGGGGCATAAATGTTCCCAATCTGCCCTCTGTTGTATTCAAACTTAAAGAGTTGGGTGAGGCATGATGAAATTGTCTGGATGAGTTTGGAAGATCGAGTGAATGGATCTCTGGGCCAGATTCCATTGTATTCGTCCAGCTGTGGAGATAGGATCTGAGAACAAAATACAGACATCACACCTGTCAAAATTTTTGTCAGTTAAAAATATTTCCCTGAGAGAAGAATCTGAGCTCCATCACAAAGGCTCTTGTCCAAACATTGCATAAAATTATCTCCTTTCCTTTCCTGTATTTGGGTCTGGGATGAGGCTGTCAAGACACAATTTCCACAAAGGATTTCTGCCTACCCAAAGTTCTGACAGAATAAAACAAATCATGCAACCTTCATTAGTCCCACAAACCTGGTAGTGCCATCTGAATGTTCAAGTGGAGAGTGAAAACTCTGATTACACAGACTATCTGCTGGGGAGGGAAATACCTTCCCTATCCCCAAAGCTTCAGTCAGCTTTCACACAAAGTGTTCTGGGAAGCGCAGCCGAAACACTGCTTATGTGTGCCTCCATATACAAATGTTTAGAATTATGGCTGCTGGCCACTGCAGCACAAAACATCATTGGTTAGGAGAATGAGAGGACCATTGTTTTTAATAGGGGAGGAGGAAGGATCTCTGGTTCCCACCAGCACAGATATTATGCCCTTCCCTCTGGAGATGTGAACCAATTATAGTGCTAGCAGCCTATAAAAGGTGTTTAATTTTACAAGTACTTGCTTGTAATCTAGAGATGTGGGGGCAAGAGGACTGTAAAAACAGGACATCTCCTATATATAATTCTGATTTTATTCTAAGCCTTGATTAGTGACTGCTGATAAGTGTGGACTGCCCCTTTGTCATTTTAACCTACTTCAATATTCTGTAATTCAGAATCCCTGCACGTTGCCCTCAGTGATGTAAAGACAGGGCTACAGAAACAATAGACATTTAGGGTCAATTTTTGGTTTCTTTTACACCAGTGAAACTCATAAGAGTTCAGCTGGGTGTCTCCAGTATAACCGTGATCAGAATTTAGCAAAGTGAATAAATATTTCTAACAGATATTATATTGTTTCCATTCAGATCTTTCCTTGTGTCATCATTATCCTATCGTTCAGTGAGGTACATCATAAATTATGTTGGTGTGGCACAAATCCATTTGTTACAGTAAATGTAACAAAGAAAAATAGCTTCTGGGCCAAATTCTGGCAATGTGTGTGTGTATATATATATATATATATATTTCCCCACATTTGTCTCTTATTTCCATTTGCTTAGATGCTTAGCGCCTTTTCTCTTGCCATGTTTTAAACCATTGAATGTATTTTTTCTAATGAACAGGAACACTCCTAGAGCTGGGATATTATTGTTGTAATTCTCCAGTTCTGAATAAAAATTAAGCTAAACAATAAAACCAGGTGTGACATTTTATCTACAACATTCGCTTTTCTCAAGCTATGGAAAAAATATGACAAAATGGGGTTATTTCATTCTTGAATTTTTATTAACTTTCTTTTTAAAACATCATGTTTGTCTGATAAAGTATTTGCAAGGACAGTTATTTTAACAAATGCCTCTGATATTTTTCAGTCATTATGGTAATTATGTGAATACAGCCTTCAAGCAAATTATATAACTTTGTTTTGAAAAGCATCTATAGATCTGGTGCCTGCTCCTGCTTCCATTAACATCAATGGGGATTTTGCTTTTGACTTCTATGGTAGTAGGATCTACCCCATATCTGTAATTTTCCATAAGCAATCTGAGTTCTTCAAAACTTTTTGGGCACCTACTGCTGTGGAGTGCTGAGTGCTCTGAACTTCTCAGCTTCCAGCAAAACCACCAGGAGACAGGGGCATTCAGCAACTTACAGGATCAGCTAGAGGCCAATTCTTAGATCTGGCTAGGTACAAAATCCTGGTGGGTGGCAAAGAAGACTTTATACCACCTTCACCACCACATCCTGGGGCCACCCAGAGACCAGTCAGCTCCTAACACAACTAAGAGCAGCCTTAGTGCTGCTCTAATTTGAAACAGTCTGCAATAGCTCTGCATTGTGGCAGCCAAAGACAGCAGCAGCACTACAACACTCAGTCATGCCCTCTTTCCCCAGCCACCTCCTTAGCTGAGCACCTGCACTTGGAACTGGGAGGGGGGAGTATACAGCTGAACACACTGACTCTGTACTATCTGGGGATTTCCCCATGCCGGGGGAAATCCTTAACTGACTGGTTACACCAGCTTTACAGGCCCTTTGTATGTTGCCAAGATCAGGGTCCTAGGATTCTAATTGTTCTCCAGCTGCCAGTCCATTACATAGGCCTGGATGTATTACTATAACTTCCATTACTATTCAATGCATCTTCCTTTGCTTGCTTGCTTTCCTTCATATACATTGTCATTTACCTTCAGCATGTGATAGTTGTGTGACAATCCACTGATCTCTACTTTGCATGTCAGCCTCAGCCCAGCTCTTGCCAATCCTCTGTCTTGCAGACCATGCAGAATGAGGCCTTCATAGCTGTACAAGTAGGTCTTGCTGTTACTAAAACCAGGTTCTAATAAAAAAAAGTAGTTGAAATATCTACTTGTGCGAACATTTTTGTGACATTATAGTTCATCGTCATCATCGCAACAAAAAGTCACATGCCCAATTCTACCACCAGAAAAACAGGAGACTTCAGTGGTAGATGTACCAGTACATATGATGGCAGAGTTAGGTTCATTAATTAAAAATGAGCAGTAGACTTACCAATGTCATATTTCTGACTCCCTGTGGGGAAAAAAATCAAATGGATATGTGAGACACTGAAAACAACTATTTTGACTTCACATTTAATATACTGACTTATCCATAAAACTCCAATAAAGCTTGTGACTAGGGCTTTAAAAGGTGCCTAAGGGAGGTCAGCTCCATCTCACGTGAAAGTCAAAGAGATTTGGGTGCCTAATCTCTTCAGGCCCCCTCTGAACATCCCAGCCAAGTATTATTGGAAGAAAGGAACTTACCCACAAAAGTGAACACCAGTGCCAGTATGATTCTCCTCATGATGAAGGTGAAAGAAGCTCTCAGGGGAACATGCTGCTTTTATAGAAGAAGAATTATTAACTGGTGGGCACTGCTGGGGTGAATTTTGTTGAGTTATCAACTTTTTATCAAGTTACTCAAACATTTTTTTTCTGATGCTGTTGACTTTTTATTCTGAACTGAAGGTATCGTTGGCATATTCCCACTCTGATCGTTCCACCCGAGCCATTTATACCTTTTGAAAATAACTTTCAAAACAGGTTTTTTTTTAAAGGATCGTTTTAAAACAAAATATTTAATTCATAAGGGAAATTGTTGATGATCCTTATTTTCTGGAAGTTTCTGGTGCTGTAATGTTTGTGATAACTTTGTCCTGGTTATTCTGACCTGACATAAGGCACAAAAGCTTATCTAACTGATAATGGCTCAGAAGAATTGTGCAAAAACACCAGACAAGCAGAGTGTCACAAGGTTGTCATTATCTTAGTAACCATACAAAAAAGTTTCATTTTATATACTATTTGTGCATATACTAAAGTAACATAGCAATATTAAACTTGCCTAATTGTTACAACGGCTATGACCGGAAAAAAAGGTAATGAACTTTTTTTGTCTCTATTTGTTATGAGAAAGAGGTGTTAATAACTTAGGGTATCTCTATACTGTATTGTAAACCTGAGATGCAGGTTTCAGCCCAAACCTCACATTGGCCTAACACAAAATCTTTCTGGCTTGGGTTAGTAAACTCTCAGGACCCAGGTCCAAGCCAGCCAAGAGAAATACGGGGCCCCGGAACGTCACGTTCACTGGAGGCCTCACCCCCTGCATTTCACTTTATTTACACTGAAGTTACAGACTTGGGGGGGCAGCACCTGAGCTTGGGGCCCCAGTACAATTGGGGCCTCTCTTTCCCTTCCTCTCATCAGCCCTGCCCCATAGACCCCCTCACACCCCCAGGGACGGGTCCAAGCTCGAGTCCCACTGTGACTCAGGTCCAAGCCTCGACATGGTGCAGTGTGATGCAGCCCAAGCCGCAGACCTGAGTCAGAAGGGCTGTGTAGTGCAGTATGGATGCATTACCACAATTGCGAGACCCCGGGGCCAACAACTATAAATCCAGGTTTACAATGCCATGTGGACATTCAGGCACAGGCTTGGCAACATCAAGTCCACAAGTGCAGATCCCACAGACCAGGGTTTATACTGCAGTGTAGCTGAACCCATAAGTCAGAATGTTTCTCTCCACTCATGTGGGCAGGTTGAACTGCGTTGTAGAGTAAGGGAAGTATGCGGGGGAGCAGTTTTATCCCAGCAGGAATATTGCTGGATCATACAGACTCTGATATGATGGGTGACTTATTAATATTTGAATGTCTGATTCTAAACACCCTGCCAGAATTATTACGTCAATGGGATTACTTCTGTGAGTATGGGGAGCAGGAGTTGAGCCATAAGCAAGAGGGCTGTAATTTTCACATTTCAAGTGACTCTCCCTTTTGTTTTCAGTCAAAGTGCCTAGATTTAATTTATTATTCTTAGCAAATCTAAAATAAAGTTTATTTCAATATGGAGCAATAATTCACTGAATTTTACATAAATTGAGCTGTCAAGCTTAGCCAAGTCAGGTGATTTAGTTTTACTAAATTAAGTTTTTTGGGTCCCTGGTGTAATTTCTGATATAATTGAATGGCGGGGATTATTTTTAGCTCCTCAAATTTTCTCTTTTTTATAAGGTCTGAGAAAATGTAGATGTTGCTTCTTGATCAGCGGTTTCTTCTGATTCGTAATGATAGCATTAAGCCCAAATCTGTTTTTCCCTTTCCTATTAAATACTTGATAAGAAAAAGTAATATTTCACTCTATACAAAGAGCAAGAGAGAAGCCAGCCTTATCTTTCAGAACTAAGAGTGTTTGTATCTGAACTGAATAGATTTGAAAGGTGTAATTCATCCTAGATTCATAGACTATAAAGCCAGCAGGGACTATCATGATCATCTAATCTGACCTTGTGCACATTGCAGGCCACAGACCCTCACCCACCCACTCCTGTAATAGATCCATAATCTTGGGCTGAGATAATGAAGTCCTCAAATCATGATTTAAAGATGTCAAGTTACAGAGAATCCACCATTTATACTACTTCAAACCTGCAAGTGACCTGTGCTCCATGCTGCACATGGCGAAAAGGTGAAAAGCCTGCAGGGTCTCTGCCAATCTGACCCGGTGGAAAATTCCTTCCCGACCCCACACAAAATAACTGGCTTTATATGAGACACTACATAAGAGAATTTTTTCCAGGCAGGCTGCAACAGCAGCTGATCTCTCCATGTTCCCTATGTCGGGGGGTTCTTGGCTAATGTACCATGCTGACAGATCCCATGGGCCCCTATGCCAGCCTTCACTGCATTTTCCTCACCAGCCTGTTTGGAGCTGATGTTCAGCTCTATTCTATGTCAGGCAAAAGGTGCAGCAGCTCCTCTCACTGTAACATAGTGTAGTCCTCTCTCTTTAAAATTAGTCCTGTGTAATCACTGGAGGGCCTCCCAGTGAAAGAGGTCTCTCACATGACGGAGGCACACTCAGGGTCTGCATGCTCAGAATCTGTAGGAGCCATCTTGTTATAAAGACAGTTGTGGGTTAAACTGTACACTCCTGGTCTCACTTCCCAAAGTATAGAGACTGTAGTATACTCACAAGAAAGACACTCTCGGCTCCCTGTCCATGCTAGAAAGCATGACATGGTGACAGATGTGACCACATTTCACATGAAGCGGTTGTTTTTGTCAGGAGAACAGTGCATCAAATTACCACACACAGACAAGAAACTGCAATCAGCAGACCAGCAGGAACCAAACAGAAGATACAGAATACTGAGACACACTGGCCATGTCTACCTTCAGCTGGGTGTAGATGTACCTGTGCTAGCGCTGCTTGCTAGTGTGCTAAAAATAGCAGGGTAGCCAGGGTAGCATGGGCAGTGCAGTTACTCGGGCTAGCTGCCTGGGTACAAACCCAAGGAGTCTGGGAGGGGTATACGTACTCAGACAGCTAGTCAGACCTGCTGCCCAGGCACTGCTGTTTTTAGTGAGCTAACTCAAGCAGCGCTAGCGCAATGACGTCTACGTAAGCTGGGAATCCCACTGCCCAGTTCAAAGGTAGATGTAAATAAGACTTTAACAATGGCCGTACTGGGCCAGACCAATGGTCCATCTAGCCCAGTATCCTGTCTTCTAGCAGTGGCTGGTGCCAGACCCTGCAAAAGGAATGAACAAAACAGAGTAATTTACTGAGTGATCCAGCCCCTGTCATCCAGTCCCAGCTTCTGACCATAATAGGTTCAGGGACACCCAGAGCATGGTGTTGTGTCCCTGACCACCTTGGCTACTAGCTATTGATGGACCTAACCTTCATTAACTTATTGAATTATTTTTTGAATCCACTTATACTTTTGGCCTTCACAACATTCCATGGTAACAAGTTGACTGTGTGTTATGTAAAGAAGTACTTCCTTTTGTTTGTTTTAAACTTGCTGCATATTAATTTCATTTGGTGACCCCTAGTTCTTGTGTTATGTAAAGGGATAAATAACACTTCCTTATTCACTTTCTCCACAACATTCATGATTTTAGAGTACCTCTATCATATACTCCCTTAGTCATCCTCGCTTTTCTGAATTGTACAATCCCAGTCTTTTTAATCTCTCCTCATAGGGAAGCTGTTCCAGGGCCCTAAACATTGTTGCCCCTCTCTGTATTTTTTCCAGTTCTAATATATATTTTTTGAAATGCGGCAGCCAGAGCTGCACACAGTATTCAAGGTGTAGGTGTACTATGGATTTATAAGTGGTGGTATGATGTTTTCTGTCTTATTATCAATCTCTTTCCTAATGGTTCCTAACATTTTTTGACTGCCACTGTACATTGAGGGAATATTTTCAGAGAACTATCCACAATGACTCCAATGTCTCTTTCTTGAGTGGTAACATCATTTAGACTCCATCATTTTATATGTATCGTTGGGATTATGTTTTCCAATGTGCTTTATTTTGCATTTATCAACATTGAATTTCATCTGCCATTTTTTTGCCCAGTTGCCCAGTTTTGTGAGATCTCTTTGTAACTCTTCACAGTCTGCTTTGGAGTTAACTATCTGGAATAATTTTGTATCATCTGCAAACATTGGTCTGGAAAAAGGAGTAAACAGTGGCATTTATGAATATGGTCCAATACAGATCCCATGGGGACCCTGTTATTTACCTTTCTTCATTCTGAAAACTGACCATTTATTCCTACCCTTTCTTTTAACCAGTCACTGATTTAGGAGAGGACCTTCCTTCTTATCCCATGACAGCTTACTTTGCTGAGGGACCTTGGATCACCCTTGTCCACATGTTTGTTGACCCCCTCAAAGAATTCTAATAATATTGGTGAGGCATGATTTACCTTTCTGAAAGCCATGTTGACTCTTCCCCAACACATCACGCTCATCTATGTGTCTGATTATTCTGCACTGTAGTTTCAATCAATTTGCTTGGTACTGAAGTTAGGCTTACAGGCCTGTAATTGCCAGGATCAAGTCTGGAGCCTTTTTAAAAAAATGACATTATATTAGCTATCTGCCAATCATCTGGTACAGAGGCTAATTTAAGCAATGGGTTACATACCACAGTTAGTAGTTCTGTAATTTCATATTTGAGTTCCTTCAGAACTCTTGGGTGACTGCCTCCTGTGACTTATTACTGTTTAATTTATCAATTTGTTCCAAAACCTCCTCTATTGACACCTCAGTCTGGGACTGTACCTCAGATTTGTCACCTAAAAATAATGGCTCAGGTTTAGGAATCTCCCACACATACTGTGCAGTGATGACTGATGCAAAAAATTCATTTAGCTTCTCCACACTGGCCTTGTGTTCATTGAATGCTCCTTTAGCACCTTGATTGTCCAGTGGCCCCACCGATTGTTTGTCAAGCTTCTGGCTTCTGACGTACTTAAAAAAAAAATTGCTGGTGCTTTTCATGT